TTCTTTCTTTCCCAAAATGAATCCTACCAGCTGCTCTTATCTTCGTTCTTTCTTTCTTTCTTTCTTTCTTTCTTTTTCTTTCTTTCTTTCTTTCTTTCTTTCTTTCTTTCTTTCCCAAAATGAATCCTACCAGCTGCTCTTATCTTCTTTCTTTCTTTCTTTCTTTCTTTCCCAAAATGAATCCTATCAGCTTCTCTTATCTTCGTTCTTTCTTTCTTTCTTTCTTTCTTTTCTTTCTTTCTTTCTTTCTTTCTTTCCCAAAAATACCAATCTTCCAGCTGCTTTCTTCTTCGTTCTTTCTTTCTTTCTTTCTTTCTTTTTTCTTTCTTTCTTTCCCAAAATAGATCCTACCAGCTGTTCTTATCTTCTTTCTTTCTTTCTTTCTTTCTTTCTTTCTTTCTTTCTTTCCCAAAATGAATCCTACCAGCTGCACTTATCTTCGTTCTTTCTTTCTTTCTTTCTTTCTTTTCTTTCTTTCTTTCTTTCTTTCTTTCCAAAATAGATCCTACCAGCTGCTCTTATCTTCTCTTTCTTTCTTTCTTTCTTTTCTTTCTTTCTTTCTTTTTTTCTTTCTTTCTTTCTTTCTTTCTTTCTTTTCTTTCTTTCTTTCCCAAAATTAATCCTACCAGCTGCTCTTTTCTTCTTTCTTTCTTTCTTTTTTTTTCTTTCTTTGTTTCTTTCTTTCCTTTCTTTCTTTCTTTCTTTTCTTTCTTTCTTTCTTTCTTTCTTTCTTTCTTTCTTTCCCAAAATGAATCCTACCAGCTGCTCTTATCTTCTTTTCTTTCTTTCTTTCTTTTCTTTCTTTCTTTCTTTCCCAAAATTTCTTTCTGCTTTCTTTCTTCTTTCTTTCTTACTTTCTTTCTTTCTTTCTTTCTTTCTTTCCCAAAATTTCTTTCTTTTCTTTCTTTCTTTCTTTCTTTCTTTCTTTCTTTCTTTCCCAAAATGAATCCTACCAGCTGTTCTTATCTTCGTTCTTTCTTTCTTTCTTTCTTTCTTTCTTTCTTTCTTTCTTTCTATCTTTCTTTCCCAAAATGAATCCTACCAGCTGCTCTTATCTTCTTTCTTTCTTTCTTTCTTTTTCTTTCTTTCTTTCTTTCTTTCTTTCTTTCTCAAATGAATCCTACCAGCTGCTCTTATCTTCTTTCTTTTTTTTTCTTTCTTTCTTTCTTTCTTTCTTTCTTTCCCAAAATGAATCCTACCAGCTGCTCTTATCTTCTTTCTTTCTTTTCTTTCTTTCTTTCTTTCTTTCTTTCTTTCTTTCTTTCTTTCCTACCAGCTGCTCTTATCTTCCTTCTTTCTTTTCTTTCTTTTCTTCGTTCTTTCTTTCTTTCTTTCTTTCTTTCTTTCTTTTCTTTCTTTCTTTCTTTCTTTTCTTTCTTTTTTCTTTTCTTTCTTTCCCAAAATGAATCCTACCAGCTGCTCTTATCTTCGTTCTTTCTTTCTTTCTTTCTTCCTTTCTTTCTTTCTTTCTTTCTTTCTTTCTTTCCCAAAATGAATCCTACCAGCTGCTCTTATCTTCTTTCTTTCTTTTCTTTCTTTCTTTCCAAAAATGAATCCTACCAGCTTCTCTTTTCTTCGTTCTTTCTTTCTTTCTTTCTTTCTTTCTTTCTTTCTTTCTTTCCCAAAATAAATCCTACCAGCTGCTCTTATCTTCTTTCTTTTCTTTCTTTCTTTCTTTCTTTTTTCTTTCTTTCAAAATAATCCTACCAGCTGCTCTTATCTTCTTTCTTTCTTTCTTTTTCTTTCTTTCTTTCTTCTCTTTCTTTCTTTCTTTCTTTCCCAAAATAGATCCTACCAGCTGCTCTTATCTTCGTTCTTTCTTTCTTTCTTTCTTTCTTTCTTTCTTTCTTTCTTTCTTTCTTTCCCAAAATGAATCCTACCAGCTGCTCTTATCTTCTTTCTTTCTTTCTTTCTTTCTTTCTTTCTTTCTTTTTTCTTTCTTTCTTTCTTTCTTTCTTTCTTTCTTTCCCAAAATTAATCCTACCAGCTGCTCTTTTCTTCGTTCTTTCTTTCTTTGTTTCTTTCTTTGTTTCTTTCTTTGCTTTCTTTTCTTTGTTTCTTTCTTTCTTTCTTTCTTTCTTTCTTTCTTTCTTTCTTTCTTTCCCAAAATGAATCCTACCAGCTGCTCTTATCTTCGTTCTTTTCTTTCTTTCTTTCTTTCTTTCTTTCTTTCTTTCTTTCTTTCTTTCTTTTCCCAAAATGAATCCTACCAGCTGCTCTTATCTTCGTTCTTTCTTTCTTTCTTTTCTTTTTTTTTCTTTCTTTCTTTCTTTCTTTCTTTCTTTCCCAAAATAGATCCTACCAGCTGTTCTTATCTTCGTTCTTTCTTTCTTTCTTTCTTTCTTTTTTCTTTCTTTCTTTCTTTCTTTCTTTCCCAAAATAGAATCCTACCAGCTGCTCTTATCTTCTTTCTTTCTTTCTTTCTTTCTTTCTTTCTTTTCTTTCTTTATTTCTTTCTCAAAATAGATCCTACCAGCTGCTCTTATCTTCTTTCTTTCTTTCTTTCTTTCTTTTCTTTCTTTCTTTCTTTCTTTCTTTCTTTCCCAAAATGAATCCTACCAGCTGCTCTTGTCTTCTTTCTTTCTTTCTTTCTTTTCTTTCTTTCTTTCTTTCTTTTTTCCCAAAATAGATCCTACCAGCTGCTCTTATCTTCGTTTCTTTCTTTCTTTCTTTCTTTCTTTCTTTCTTTCTTTCTTTTTTTCCCAAAATAGATCCTACCAGCTGCTCTTATCTTCGTTCTTTCTTTCTTTCTTTCTTTCTTTCTTTCTTTCTTTCTTTCTTTCTTTCTTTCTTTCTTTCTTTCTTTCTTTCTTTCCCAAAATGAATCCTACCAGCTGCTCTTATCTTCGTTCTTTCTTTCTTTCTTTCTTTCTTTCTTTCTTTCTTTCTTTCTTTCTTTCTTTCTTTCCCAAAATGAATCCTACCAGCTGCTCTTATCTTCGTTCTTTCTTTCTTTCTTTCTTTCTTTCTTTCTTTCTTTCTTTCTTTCTTTCCCAAAATGAATCCTACCAGCTGCTCTTATCTTCGTTTCTTTCTTTCTTTCTTTCTTTCTTTCTTTCTTTCTTTCTTTCTTTCTTTCCCAAAATGAATCCTACCAGCTGCTCTTATTGGCTGCAAAGTCAATAAACCAATTTTTTTCATTTTTTTTTTTTTTTTTTTTTTACTGAGAAAATTTCAAATAAAAAGTGTTGAAAGTGGAATTGAAGATTTTAAAAGATAAGCAAAAATATTTTTTATTTTTATGATGATTTCTATTTTTTATTTTATTTTATTTATCTTTTTATGATCAACTTCGTTATATTTGATTATCCGTTAAAAGCCTCCACTTTTTCGGATAAAGTGACAGAAAGAAAGAAAGAAAGAAAGAAAGATGACAGAAAGAAAGAAAGATAGAAAGAAAGAAAGAAAGCATGAGAAATAAAAGAGTCAGGTTCAATATCTCTTTTATTCTGATTTCCTCAATATCGTGCCTCGCAT